GTGTGTGTGTGTGTGTGTGTGTGTGTGTGTGTGAGAGAGAGAGAGAGAGAGAGAGAGAGAGAGAGAGAGAGAGAGAGAGAGAGAGAGAGAGACTGAGGGTTACTGACGAAGGCGTGACAAGAAGTTACTGCAGTAGTGTGAGCAGCAAGTGGTCCGTCTTCTGGTGCTCGTTCGAAGTTAGGACACGTAACAAGAGCCTGCTGGACCGTCGATTCTACTCCATCCCCGTTGACTGCGGAGTGTTGGTTGTGGTATCCGTGGCGGTGTGCGCTCCATAGCAAGGACTTCGCCATTCAAGATCTTGGGTGGTGGAGCTTTCCACCGTCTCGTCGTTTATTATTTATCTGGAGTGAAGGTATCCAGCATGGCATCTGCAACGGACGGGAGGACGTCTTCAATGGAAATGAGTGTTCTGTCGAAGGTGTCTTCTGCAGAGGATCACTCCGACCAACCGTCAGCTGTGGACGAGAGCGGTTTGGACCTGCTGCACCTCGCCATCACCACCGAACAGAGGCACTGGACCGACACTCTGCGATGATGGCCGCAGCACATAGAGACTGTGCGAACCTAGTGGCCACGAAGATGGAAGAAGGTTGGCGAACTGTTGGTATACTGGCAAGGGAAGCAGACCCTGACTATTCCGTCAGTACTTCCGCGGAAGGCACAGACTACACGTAACTTCCGAACAACCAAGTGCCCGTGCGGGGCACACACACACTCAAGCCGACAAGCACTCGGACAGGCATGCAGACCAGCAAGCATGGACCCACACAGACTTAGAAAACTCTACAACAAGGAGGGAACTCAGTGCTCAGTCCGTGTTGGGCAGGTCATTACAATAGCGTAGATCTCCACAAAAACGTCCAGATCAAGGCGCTGAGGAAACGCAAGGCTGCTCGTGGGACTTGGTCCCCTCCCACTCACATAATAAGGTGGGTAAAAAAAAAAAAAAAAAAAAGAAGAAGCCACATTGGACCCCACAGGGGCCAAGTCCCAGTAGCACCATTGACATTCGTCAACGCCATTTCTGCACACCCCACAAAACACGACCACATTCAGGCCTTGAGGAATCCCAACGCTGCTACTGGGACTCGGCCCCAGCAGAGAAAATGACCCCGCCTCCTATTCGGGCGAAGAAGGTTTTGCTGGGGAGGCCTCCTCATGTCATGAGCCGCATACGTAACATATCGGGAATGCATCTCTCATGGCCTAAACAGAAATTGCTCAAGGACGGCCGATAACCGCACAAATGCAGACAAGTGACTGTCAGACACCCGCGCGCTTCACGGTTCTGACACTCCAAAAGAAACCCGCAGACTTCCTATGTATTCTGTACAACAGAATGCCGCACCGCCGTCGCGCCATCGTCACACGGTGGTAGCTGCCTACACTACAACGCGCAGGTGGGACCGAGCCCCGGGGAGCAGGCCGGGACACCAACCACAGCGCACGTGGCGGTGGCGATGTAATGGAACCAAGAGCCGTTTTCCGCCAGAAAAATGCACTTTTCGGCCTCGCCAAGTCTCGCCACTATTTGTGGCGGATGGCGAGTAGTGGAACGAGGCCCATATTCTTCTCTCAATTTCACCTCACACTACTTACCTATCACTACTCCTAATTGTAGGCATACGGGGAACCCCGTACCAGCCAGAACCGTGGTCGTCGATGAGTAGTGCACAACAGTGCTCGGGGCAAGCCCCGTGATCGACATGCTACGAGGCACCTCAAGATCAGCTCACGCCAAGCAGACACTCCACGACCTTGTACTCAACTCCAAAGCATAGAGAGAGAGAGAGAGAGAGAGAGAGAGAGAGAGAGAGAGAGAGAGAGAGAGAGAGAGAGAGAGAGAGAGAGAGAGAGAGAGAGAGAAGAAATAGTGACGCTTATCGCCACAATAGCTTCCTTACGAAAGATAGTGAATCAAAACAAGGAAGCACCAGTGTTGCCCGACCGGTTTCGACCCCATCACCGGACCGTGTTCACGAGAGAACATGCGACCTGCAGTTTCTTGTTTTTTTCCATCAAAAAGAAAAAAGAAAAAAAGAAGAAGAAAAAAAAAAAAAAACACATTCATTATAGGCTGGGACTCGGGCCCAGCTTCTGCCACAGTCTTATGGGATGAGCCAGGCACTCTGGCCGGGCTTAACCCTGACTATCACTCTGGTTGAACGCTGTAGTCAGGGTTAAGCCCGGCCGGAGTGCCTGGCTCATCCCATAAGACTGTGGCATACTATGGGCCTAGTTGCACTACTCGCCATACGCCAAGTTTGGCGAGTAGGCGCCTGGTTGCACTTACTCGCCAAACTTGCCGAATGCAAAATGTGTCAGACGGCTCGCCACACTGTCGACACAAGTTGTGGAGAGTGAATTCGTTTTCCCCGCCTGTGCACAGCGGTTTCTGGAGGGTGGTCTTCGGACCTCTCCACAAAACAACTTTCTGGAGAGTGCAGGGCTTCAAGAGTAGACATAGGGGAGACAATTTTTTTTTACTTTTCTGTAGAAGAAATCTAGTGGAGAGTACGTGCAACCACTCGAGTTCGACACGGGAATGTTTGGTTTCGATTTCAAAACGAGAGAACGGGGCCGGGGACCCCACAATTCAACCCGGTGTAGGAACCTCTGGCAGCCTTAGCCAGTTTCGCTTTTTACGGCACCCTTAGGAACCGGGAGTCACCAACTTATATGTAAAGACTGAGTATCTGAAACCATGCTAGTTCCCATTAGGCTAAGGGGGAAAAGGGGGCGAGTGAGTGATTACTATCTAGGTCTGAGAAAGCTAAAGCTAAGGACTGGGGTGGGGTTCGATGGGAAAGGGGGGGGGGGGGCAGGATRGGGGAAAGGAGAAGGGGGAGGGAGATTGTATGGGGGGGGGTGGGATACTAGAGTACCAGGTTAAGGGTAAAACAAAGATGCAACAGGTCTACGATATGAGTAGGCCTACTGGGGAGCGGCCTGGGACTAGCATAACTACGGCTAGTTGGAGCCGGGCAATCCGGCTCCTCTCAGATCTGACACTCTCCTCCCGCCTCCCCTCAGCCTCTCAGCTCGCGGCCTACTGCGG